TCAGTCCATTCAACACATACCTCATGGCAGTCTGATGGAAGGGACCTTTTAATGGAGAGGCTCTTAAAAACATAAGTCATTCAATGGGTCTACAAAGATAATAGAACTGGCTAGAGGGAAGGAATGAGCTAACTTCTTGCAAAAATTGAGCTTTGGAATTGGAAGTGTTCTCAAAAGGTTAGTGCAGCATGGTCCCTTTGATGGGGTAATGGTTTGAAAGGTTGGTGGGGGGAGCAGTTAAAATTCGTTGGGTATGGGAGTGGTGGATGGAAGGGGGATTTTCTGGGCCTTTTGTTGTTGTGGAATAATATTAAGGTTTTTAAGCACTCGGCTTTCAAGAGTGGAGGGGTGCTTAAGCTGGATTGGGCTTTGAAAGAACACGCAAAGTTGGGCTTGTGAAGGATTAGGCCTTTGGTGCCTCACTTGGGTCGGAAATGGGTTGGGCCATTGGTGCCTCACATGGCTCACATCACTTGTCTCAATTATTTTTAAATTTAGGGATGACGCGTGGAGACCTTTAATATTATTTTACTAACAATAATCCTCTGTCTGAAGATCCTTTGTAATACAAAAAATTTAATATTTANTTATAGGAGGAAATATTCAAGATGAATTGATTGATGTTACTTAGCATTGATGGAAAAAACAAGGACACTGAAACAGTTCGTCTAGATTTGGAAGATCTACACATAAGGAAAGAGTTGCACTTTCAACTTTGNAAGGCGCAAGTCTTTTCCCCTGCTAAGTTGGGTTGCTTCATAAGGTGTTGATACTTTTGGGTTGTAACTAGTGTTGGAATCTCCTGGAGAATGTGGCTATATTTATTTTTTCTCCCCTTCTGACGAGAATACTCTCTAGCCAGCTGGGAATAGTTAGAGCTCTATCAAGTCTTTCCCTTGACCAGTGATTATCCCAAGAGAATTTATATCCTTTGCTTTCTAGGTCAAGCAAATTGTTGTTATCAAGAAACGTTTGTAAACCTCTCATATTATAATTAGCTTTGGCCCCAAGTCCCTGTTTTTTTTACTACTTGAAACTATATCATTGAAATCCCCTATACACAACCAGTGGAGGTCATGGCTCCTTTCATATGCACCAAGTCTTTCCCATTATTCCCTTGAGATTTCATTGTAGAATGATCGTAAAGAAAGCTTAAGTTCCATGTGCCATCAGCACCTTGGGCTTTCATAATCAGATCTACCTGATTTTGACTACAGATTTCCACTTCCAAAGCAATTGCATTTTCTCCCAATGAGGCATAGACCTCGTGCTAAGCCTATTGGTTTTATTACTTGCTTCCCATCACAACTCAGTTCCCACCTTATCCTCTATATTCTATGTTCCCTAATTTTTATTTCACTAATGGATAGAACTTGGGGTTGATACTAGACACATAATTCCTGGGACTTTCATAGAAGCCCCTAACCCTTGACAGTTCTAACCTATGAGCTTCATGGTGGAGTTGAGGCATGTTTTAGTCCACCTCCTCAGACATATTAAAAAGTTCTTCAGTCCATTCAACACATACCTCATGGCAGTCTGATGGAAGGGACCTTTTAATGGAGAGGCTCTTAAAAACATAAGTCATTCAATGGGTCTACAAAGATAATAGAACTGGCTAGAGGGAAGGAATGAGCTAACTTCTTGCAAAAATTGAGCTTTGGAATTGGAAGTGTTCTCAAAAGGTTAGTGCAGCATGGTCCCTTTGATGGGGTAATGGTTTGAAAGGTTGGTGGGGGGAGCAGTTAGAATTCGTTGGGTATGGGAGTGGTGGATGGAAGGGGGATTTTCTGGGCCTTTTGTTGTTGTGGAATAATATTAAGGTTTTTAAGCACTCGGCTTTCAAGAGTGGAGGGGTGCTTAAGCTGGATTGGGCTTTGAAAGAACACGCAAAGTTGGGCTTGTGAAGGATTAGGCCTTTGGTGCCTCACTTGGGTCGGAAATGGGTTGGGCCATTGGTGCCTCGCATGGCTCACATCACTTGTCTCAATTATTTTTAAATTTAGGGATGACGCGTGGAGACCTTTAATATTATTTTACTAACAATAATCCTCTGTCTGAAGATCCTTTGTAATACAAAAAATTTAATATTTATGTCTGAAGATACCTTTAATATTATTTGAGTATTGAATATAGTATTTATTGTTTTCATTGTTTATCGAATAAATTTAATGAGTTGTTAGTGAATAAGTCTAAGTCTGTCAAAATTCGATACAACACGATTAATCGATATGANTATGTCTGAAGATACCTTTAATATTATTTGAGTATTGAATATAGTATTTATTGTTTACATTGTTTATCGAATAAATTTAATGAGTTGTTAGTGAATAAGTCTAAGTCTGTCAAAATTCGATACAACACGATTAATCGATATAAATTGACATGAATTTAAGTGGGTTTGAGTGAGATCTTAACAAGTTTAAATGATAAATGGGTTGACCCGCTAAACACATTTAATAAACGGATCGTATTTGGGTGAAACCTGTCAACCTTTTTATCACAAGNACACGATTAATCGATATGAATTGACATGAATTTAAGTGGGTTTGAGTGAGATCTTAACAAGTTTAAATGATAAATGGGTTGACCCGCTAAACACATTTAATAAACGGATCGTATTTGGGTGAGACCTGTCAACCTTTTTATCACAAGTTTACTCATTTAAATAAAATTAATACAATAATAAATTAATAATTATTTTAAAAAATTAACCCAAAAAAAAAGAAAGGAGCTGGCACTTGTAGTGGCCTTTTCCTTTTGGTGATATCTTTTGTTTTTGTGGCAAACGAGGGAAGATGAGGAGAGCTTCCTTATAAAAGACAATGACATTTTCCCTTGTTTTTTAGCCTTATAGTCTCACTTTCGTGTGAGATTTAGCTGGAAATTTTGTNAAGAAAGGAGCTGGCACTTGTAGTGGCCTTTTCCTTTTGGTGATATCTTTTGTTTTTGTGGCAAACGAGGGAAGATGAGGAGAGCTTCCTTATAAAAGACAATGACATTTTCCCTTGTTTTTTAGCCTTATAGTCTCACTTTCAATGAGATTTAGCTGGAAATTTTTTTNCTTTTGTTTTTGTGGCAAACGAGGGAAGATGAGGAGAGCTTCCTTATAAAAGACAATGACATTTTCCCTTGTTTTTTAGCCTTATAGTCTCACTTTCGTGTGAGATTTAGCTGGAAATTTTGTTTTTACGAGGCAAGTATACTTGGCAATAAAAAAAGTTGAGTATTAAAATTTGTTGATATAATTTTTTTAAAATTAAATGCGTGAAACAGGTGGTGTCGTGTTATCCGTTTATTAAACGGTTCGTGTTCGTGTTAAAGTTTTTTCTTCATTTATTAAACATGTTGGATATGAATTTACGTGTTTTTCATCTGTCACCTGTTTAACCCGACATGTAATCGTTAACTTGATACGATTGACACCCTTGAGAATAACTGATATTTTTTAATTACAAAAATTATACATTTTTTTGACATTTTTTTTTATGTTAAATGAACTTTATGTATCATAAATGATATAATAAATATAAATATATTATATAGTGTAATTGGTTAAAAAAAAATTTAGAAAGTGTAATTAAAGTATCTGCCCTTAGTAAAATTCTTAGTTCCGCCCCCTGCCTATTACCATGGGGGTGTATGTATACCGAGAGGAGTGGCGGTGTAAAGTCGGTGGCTCAGAATCATTGAATCAGTGACGTTTTTTTTGGTGAATTAATTGATTTAGTTTAATTTTAAAAAAAAATTTGGTTANTATATATACCGAGAGGAGTGGCGGTGTAAAGTCGGTGGCTCAGAATCATTGAATCAGTGACGTTTTTTTTGGTGAATTAATTGATTTAGTTTAATTTTAAAAAAAAAAATTGGTAAATTAGTTTGCTGTCTTTGAAGTGTTGAGATTTATGTTGGAGATGAAGATGGAGAAGATGGCAAAACCTGGTATAGCATGGAAAAGAAAATCCATGTCAAAAAAAAAAATGGAAAAGAAAATGACATTAAGGATTATGGTTGAAATGGTGTTTTAGGACTTTTTATAATTTCCATCCATGNAGAAGATGGCAAAACCTGGTATAGCATGGAAAAGAAAATCCATGTCAAAAAAAAAATGGAAAAGAAAATGACATTAAGGATTATGGTTGAAATGGTGTTTTAGGACTTTTTATAATTTCCATCCACGCATTCAATTAATTTAGTCAAATTAAAATTTGTTGGGGGCAATCTGTTGAGATTAAAACCAGAGGAGACTGATTGTAGTAGTAGTGTCAATTAAACTTGGAGAGGATAATTTGTAATTAACCTATTTTTTTATTCTATTGTTTTAAAGAAAAAATAAAGTTATAAATTTTTTTCCACAAACAATGTTGTGGGCCCCATAAATGTATAACAAAAGTGTGCATCAGATTAATGTTAAAAAAATGAGTTTCTGATTTATATAAGTATAATAACGGTCATAATTAATTTAATTTTTATTTATGTTAATTCTCTAAAAAAATATATTCTTTATTAATTTTAAATAATTCAATTAACACATTTTAGACAATAACACTAAACTACATCTACATCTCTCTTCTTTCTCTCTCATTTTTTCTCTATACATTATAAATTTAATTTGTGTAATTAAAAAAATAAAAATAAAAATATTATCTAAAATAAAAATATTATATAATCAACACTCAATATTTATATATACTAAGCTTGATGTGATGTGATTTTGAGGTTTGACGTTGGACAACATCTGGAAGCCTTTTCTTGCCAGCAGCAAGTAAGCAAAGTGGGCCCAAGTTCAATTTGTTTTTTTTCCTACGGTTCGGCTAAGATGTTAAATATTATTATCCCAGTCCTTTCTCCCCTCAGCTGCTGTCTTTTCCGGTGTCCCCATATCGGCCACTATCACCGGTCGTTATAAAACGGGAAGAAATAAAGCTTTCCCAAGCCCAAGAAACATAGTCGGAGGGAGAGGTACTCTCTCACACATACACACTTGCCAAGTGCTTTTCATGTTTGGTTTTCCAAAATCATTTCATATATATTGTTATACTAAGAATGATTCGGTTTTTGCTGTGTATTAGGGTTTGGACTTTGGACAATGGAAGGCTATGTACTTTGTTTCGAAAAGAAACTCTCAGCAACAGACGTTACACGTAATATGGAGATACCAAAGTGGGCGCTTCACTTACCTCCTGGAAATGAGATCATGTATGTACTGGACCCAAATGGAGAGACTACCTGGCAGTTCATATGTTCGACAAGGAACAGCGGCCGACGCTCGATGCTATATCAGTGGATGAGTTTTGCAGAGAAGAAGAAACTTATGCCCGATGACATACTCCGATTCTATCGGTCCACGAATGGAGATGGGTATTTGATGGAGCTCGAACGCCATAGCATCCGACTGTTTGGGGTGACCATACAAATCAGCTGAACTTCGCTATGTACAAGTTTTTTTTTCGGCTCGTTCTGTTTTGGAAGTGTTCTTTCCGTTAAATTTTGGCCTGAAGAAGAGTTCGGTGGTTGTGGTGTACATTTTAGTGGAAGAGAGTTGTGGTGATGGTGGTAGTGTACAATTCAGTGTTGGGTAATTGTGGTGGTGGTGGTGGCGTACATTTCAGTGGAAGGAGAGTAAAAAAACAGCTGTGTGAATTTTTTTATTTTTTATTTTGGATGGTCATAACCATATACATGATACATCAGCTGAACTTCGATACATACATATCAGAGGAGGTTATGTGTTGTTTGTCGATTTTACTTGTGTTCTCTTCGTTAAATTTTGACTTTAAAGAGAGTTTGGTGGTGGTAGTGGTGGAGTTGGTGGGGTGCACATAGATTTCGATGAAAGAAGATAGTATAAAGTGTTTGATCACAATGGTGGAGGTGTAAAATTCAGTGGAAGAAGAAGGTCAATAAGCTACAGTTTGGTTTGCATTTTTTAAAAAATGAAAGCAACTATAAAATTGATATTGGTGTTGTACTTGAGTCTTACCCAAAAAAGGTGGTGGACAATTCGGTGGTGGTGGTGCCATGGTGGTGTACTACAGTTCAGTGGTGGTGGTTGTGCCATGGTCAGTTCAGGTGGTGGACAATTCATTGGTGCTGGTGCTGGTGCTGTGCTGGTGCAGTGTAGCTGGTGATGTCCACAGATTTACTGGAAGCAGAAAGTCAAAAAAATCGACAAACTAAGTGGTTCTCAAGTCAACCTCGTATTTTCCAACCAGAACTTTTTTTTTTTTTTTGATAAAATTTTCCAACCAGAACTTGTTCTGGGTATTTTCCAACTAGAACTTGTTCCGGGTATTTTCCAACAAGAACTTGATACATATGAGTAAAATTAGTTTAAGTTAGGGATCCAGATGCAAAAATGCCTTTTTGATTTGGTCTCACACCCTCGTATGTTCCGTCATCTTCTTCGGCGCCGATCGTTCATTCTAGGATTTTTCAGTTGATACCATAACAGATCATATATAACAAGGTTACTCCATCTATTAGTGTATAAAAAATAGCAATGATATTTGGACTTATTTACTATATCAACCCAAAACATTCAACTTAAAAATAGAAAAGTCAATCGAGTCAGAGTCCAGAGTTTTTTTCTATGCTCCGATTAAGCAGGAGAGGACAGTCTTAGGCTCTGCATCAACTGTTAATTTCGATGTCTTACACAAAGTCGGCTTGGTTATCTAGGCCATATGCTCAAGTTTGATTCAATTTGACTTATGTTTCACACTGTAACCTCAAATTCAATTTCAAAGTCCTACTAGACTCGAGTAAGTCCAAAACACACATGACCAATGAAATGAAACATCTTGTCCATTAAGTTAAGAGTTTTTTTTTATTATTTTCCCACCAAGTAAAATTTTTAAATATAATATTATTAACAAATCGAGGTCGTGGTGCAAAATTTCAAAAAGAATATAATTGTTTTCTTCTGTCAAATTATAAATCCAATTGAAGAATGGCAGAAGGAAGCAACGTAGTCCGTTTTTCAAAAACAGCACAGTATGTATTCATCTGCAAAGCCAATTTACCCAATCATCAACCAGTAGTCCCCCTATGCTGCATGATGCTGATAAAGAACGACCCTTTTCACAATGGTTTTCAAGTTCGGAAGCAATGCAAGCAAATTCTGCCCCCCTTTCCTCCTTTGCATGATGTACCAAATCCGTTTGAAGGAAAAATATCGTTAGAAAAAAAAAAAAAATAATGCTCCCATTTATATATACCAGTAATTGCCATGTCTTCAGATACGGAGTAAAAAAAAATCAATATATTATATTTGACACAGACGAATCATTGCTTGTGTAGATATATAATCAAGATGATATCTAAACTTGCTAAAAAAACTGGGAAACAAACCAAGGCATGATCATAATGAAATGGAAAAAAAATGACGAATTAAAGCCACACGAAACACAGTTGGATAGCGGTGGAGGTAGGAGTGAAAAGGAAACAGGGAGAGAGAGTACATATATGGTTAGAAAGACCTATGAATTTATGTTATAACAGAAAAAAAGGTTCACTAATTCAAATTTTTTAGAAATAGTTATCGTCGTTTGTCCACTAACTACCCAACTTGTCTATTAAACAAAGATTCACCGCCAGCATTCTATTATCTTATAAACCACCATCAAACGTTTTCCCAAACCTTTAAAATAAGATTTTAATCAACAATTTTAGCATAAACATGCGAAATTCCAGCAACCAACAAAAAATTTCAACCATATTATTAAGTATTTTAATAAAGAAACTCTTAGATTAAAAGAAGGGTTAATAACACTTTTAGTTCTTAAACTATGCATTTTTTTTTATCAGTTTAGTCCTCATTGAAACAATTTTGTCAATTTAATCTCTAAAATATTCAATTCATATTACTTTGGTTCCTACATAAACGCACCGTCAAGTTTTTTTGACGACATCACATGTTCAACACGTGATAATTCCGTCAAAAACTTAACGATCCATTTATATAATGGCTAAAATGACACGAATTAAATACTTTAAGAACCAAAAGTACTATTAACCCTTGAAAAAAAATCTAACTAATTTTTAGGAAGTAAAAATCTAAAACATACTATGTAGAGAAAAAAAAAATTACCTAGAAAGTAGATCTTCCTCTCAACACCCACCGAGGCTTCCAAGTGAAAACCCTAAATTTCTTGGTAGATTTGAATCAAACACAAAACAAACTCAAAACTAAAACATAGCTGAAAGTTACGGGAGCAGAATAAAAATAGAGAAGGGTTCCAAAGGTTTTATATTTTGAAGTTGCTTGTCCGCAACACTCCAAAAAACTAAACCGATAGCTTCAATGTAGGAAAGCGAAAACAAAGCCTTCTGAGTTGTTTCCCAAGGCAAACTTATCTCCATCTTCTCCTAATTATAATCCAGCCCTTGAGTTTCTAATTATTTCCAAGCGTACACTATCCCCTTACAAGACTAATAAACAATTTTTACTACTTTTCAATTTAGTCCTAACTTCTTTTTTTCACCTCATGTAATGCGTATCTAAGTTTCACAATGTTACTTGTTCTAACACCGTGATAGAATATTGCACACTCGTAGATGCCACAGCTGATTTATATTGGCAACAATCTCGGTTAACTGAATTGAAGATTCCCAACCATCTTGTCCTCTCCTATGGCACGACAATATTAGGGTTACTTATCTCATAGCCAACCCCATTTTTCACAATCGGAGGAAACATGTTGAAATAGCATTTTACTTTGTATGTGAGAAAGTAACCGCCAAAGCACTTCAAGCACATTACATATCTAATAAGGATAAAATTGTCGATGTATTAATAAAACCCCTTTCAACTCCACCTTTTCTCTTGCTTCGAGACAAGCTCAACCTTATTCCGGACACACTTCACACTTGCTGGGGTATATTTGAGATAAAGAATAAAATGTTATTTGCAACAAAATTTCAAATAAACACTCCAATGGTATCATATTATCTTATCAGCTACTTTGAACACTTAGAATCCTACTTGCACTCAATTATGTTGTAAATCTCTATAAATACCTCAGTAACCATACATTGCAAACATAGCAAAAACTAATTGGTTTCACGTTTTCTCATAGTATCAAATTTTTTTCGATTTCAATTCTCTTTAAAATATATTTTAATTCTGAAATATTTTCAAACTTATAACCACCTCTCTACAAGTTTTTCGATCTTTTGAATTCAATGGTAACCTTATTTGATCTAAAGTCATTTATAAACTTACTTAGTTACCATTCTAAAGTTTATGCACTTCGAAATTAAATTTGACTCGAAAGTTAATGTGCGTAAACTCAAATTTTATGACCAATCTTTCAACAAAAAATCAAAATTCTTACTATTATTTTATTTATGTTATGAGAATTTTTAAGATAATATTATTCTTATTTAATTATAATACGGGATCTTAGAGAAAAAAATGTGATTGAAGGGTAGACTAAGGCAAGTTTTGGGCGGGAACTCAACTTTTCAAGAATAAATTTTAGCCATTGAATTAAAATAGATAAAATTTTAAAATAATCTGAACTGCAAAAAGTAAAAATTATTTTTTATATATTTAAGAATTTGAAATGCCAAGTATTTTATTATATAGATATTTATAAATTTTCATTTTTTTGGACAATATTACTCTCCAACACATGCCTAAAGACCCCTTTACCCACAATTACCTCCCTCGTCTCAATAGTCTACTACTATATTTACCAAACCAGGGAGAAACTATTCAATAATATATTTTAGTAATTATTTTTTCTTGTCATTTGATAATTAATTTATTTTAAAAAATAGGAAAAATTATACTAAAAATTCTCTAATGTTTGTCACATAATCACTTTGACCCATTGACATTTGAAATATTACACACAGCCCTATAAAGTTTGTATACGCGGAATACTTAAACCTCTGTCGTAGATGTTCATTAGTATATCTATTAATAAATTACACTCAAACTTCTTAAATTTTATAGACATATAATATTTAGATCTCTCAAGTTTTAAAAATTACATTTAGACCCTTATTAGTTACGAAAGTAACGGAATTAATTAAACATAGTTCATAACTTTGAGTCGTTTATTGACATAGTCATTAGAGAGTCGACCCCCATAATTCTTCTTTGGTCTCTGATTTCTTTTTTAGGTGATCGAAATCCAATAAATTGACATGGAGGTCGTCCAAATTTTAGCATCAATAATACTAATTATGGATTTTATTAAAAAAATAGTTTTTTAATTTTAATTTTAATTTTATTTCAATAAATGACATAATAGAACATAAATTTTGATTATTGTAAAATTTAAATATTTGGTATTCTATTTTTAATTTGAATATTTTTAATCTTAGTATAATATTTTAAATTTGGAGGTCTTAGTATTGCACGTTTCAAATTTTAGTAGTCTATAGATATGCTAATGGATATTAACGACAAAAGTCTATGTGTTACGTGCATACAAATTTTAAGAGANATTTTTAATTTGAATATTTTTAATCTTAGTATAATATTTTAAATTTGGAGGTCTTAATATTGCACGTTTCAAATTTTAGTAGTCTATAGATATGCTAATGGATATTAACGACAAAAGTCTANCTTTTTTTTTTTTTTTGATAAAATTTTCCAACCAGAACTTGTTCTGGGTATTTTCCAACTAGAACTTGTTCGGGGTATTTTCCAACAAGAACTTGATACATATGAGTAAAATTAGTTTAAGTTAGGGATCCAGATGCAAAAATGCCTTTTTGATTTGGTCTCACACCTCGTATGTTCCGTCATCTTCTTCGGCGCCGATCGTTCATTCTAGGATTTTTCAGTTGATACCATAACAGATCATATATAACAAGGTTACTCCATCTATTAGTGTATAAAAAATAGCAATGATATTTGGACTTATTTACTATATCAACCCAAAACATTCAACTTAAAAATAGAAAAGTCAATCGAGTCAGAGTCCAGAGTTTTTTTCTATGCTCCGATTAAGCAGGAGAGGACAGTCTTAGGCTCTGTATCAACTGTTAATTTCGATGTCTTACACAAAGTCGGCTTGGTTATCTAGGCCATATGCTCAAGTGTNCTATTAGTGTATAAAAAATAGCAATGATATTTGGACTTATTTACTATATCAACCCAAAACATTCAACTTAAAAATAGAAAAGTCAATCGAGTCAGAGTCCAGAGTTTTTTTCTATGCTCCGATTAAGCAGGAGAGGACAGTCTTAGGCTCTGCATCAACTGTTAATTTCGATGTCTTACACAAAGTCGGCTTGGTTATCTAGGCCATATGCTCAAGTTTGATTCAATTTGACTTATGTTTCACACTGTAACCTCAAATTCAATTTCAAAGTCCTACTAGACTCGAGTAAGTCCAAAACACACATGACCAATGAAATGAAACATCTTGTCCATTAAGTTAAGAGTTTTTTTTTATTATTTTCCCACCAAGTAAAATTTTTAAATATAATATTATTAACAAATCGAGGTCGTGGTGCAAAATTTCAAAAAGAATATAATTGTTTTCTTCTGTCAAATTATAAATCCAATTGAAGAATGGCAGAAGGAAGCAACGTAGTCCGTTTTTCAAAAACAGCACAGTATGTATTCATCTGCAAAGCCAATTTACCCAATCATCAACCAGTAGTCCCCCTATGCTGCATGATGCTGATAAAGAACGACCCTTTTCACAATGGTTTTCAAGTTCGGAAGCAATGCAAGCAAATTCTGCCCCCCTTTCCTCCTTTGCATGATGTACCAAATCCGTTTGAAGGAAAAATATCGTTAGAAAAAAAAAAAAAATAATGCTCCCATTTATATATACCAGTAATTGCCATGTCTTCAGATACGGAGTAAAAAAAAATCAATATATTATATTTGACACAGACGAATCATTGCTTGTGTAGATATATAATCAAGATGATATCTAAACTTGCTAAAAAAACTGGGAAACAAACCAAGGCATGATCATAATGAAATGGAAAAAAAATGACGAATTAAAGCCACACGAAACACAGTTGGATAGCGGTGGAGGTAGGAGTGAAAAGGAAACAGGGAGAGAGAGTACATATATGGTTAGAAAGACCTATGAATTTATGTTATAACAGAAAAAAAGGTTCACTAATTCAAATTTTTTAGAAATAGTTATCGTCGTTTGTCCACTAACTACCCAACTTGTCTATTAAACAAAGATTCACCGCCAGCATTCTATTATCTTATAAACCACCATCAAACGTTTTCCCAAACCTTTAAAATAAGATTTTAATCAACAATTTTAGCATAAACATGCGAAATTCCAGCAACCAACAAAAAATTTCAACCATATTATTAAGTATTTTAATAAAGAAACTCTTAGATTAAAAGAAGGGTTAATAACACTTATAGTTCTTAAACTATGCATTTTTTTTTATCAGTTCAGTCCTCATTGAAACAATTTTGTCAATTTAATCTCTAAAATATTCAATTCATATTACTTTGGTTCCTACATAAACGCACCGTCAAGTTTTTTTGACGACATCACATGTTCAACACGTGATAATTCCGTCAAAAACTTAACGATCCATTTATATAATGGCTAAAATGACACGAATTAAATACTTTAAGAACCAAAAGTACTATTAACCCTTGAAAAAAAATCTAACTAATTTTTAGGAAGTAAAAATCTAAAACATACTATGTAGAGAAAAAAAAAATTACCTAGAAAGTAGATCTTCCTCTCAACACCCACCGAGGCTTCCAAGTGAAAACCCTAAATTTCTTGGTAGATTTGAATCAAACACAAAACAAACTCAAAACTAAAACATAGCTGAAAGTTACGGGAGCAGAATAAAAATAGAGAAGGGTTCCAAAGGTTTTATATTTTGAAGTTGCTTGTCCGCAACACTCCAAAAAACTAAACCGATAGCTTCAATGTAGGAAAGCGAAAACAAAGCCTTCTGAGTTGTTTCCCAAGGCAAACTTATCTCCATCTTCTCCTATTTATAATCCAGCCCTTGAGTTTCTAATTATTTCCAAGCGTACACTATCCCCTTACAAGACTAATAAACAATTTTTACTACTTTTCAATTTAGTCCTAACTTCTTTTTTTCACCTCATGTAATGCGTATCTAAGTTTCACAATGTTACTTGTTCTAACACCGTGATAGAATATTGCACACTCGTAGATGCCACAGCTGATTTATATTGGCAACAATCTCGGTTAACTGAATTGAAGATTCCCAACCATCTTGTCCTCTCCTATGGCACGACAATATTAGGGTTACTTATCTCATAGCCAACCCCATTTTTCACAATCGGAGGAAACATGTTGAAATAGCATTTTACTTTGTATGTGAGAAAGTAACCGCCAAAGCACTTCAAGCACATTACATATCTAATAAGGATAAAATTGTCGATGTATTAATAAAACCCCTTTCAACTCCACCTTTTCTCTTGCTTCGAGACAAGCTCAACCTTATTCCGGACACACTTCACACTTGCTGGGGTATATTTGAGATAAAGAATAAAATGTTATTTGCAACAAAATTTCAAATAAACACTCCAATGGTATCATATTATCTTATCAGCTACTTTGAACACTTACAATCCTACTTGCACTCAATTATGTTGTAAATCTCTATAAATACCTCAGTAACCATACATTGCAAACATAGCAAAAACTAATTGGTTTCACGTTTTCTCATAGTATCAAATTTTTTTCGATTTCAATTCTCTTTAAAATATATTTTAATTCTGAAATATTTTCAAACTTATAACCACCTCTCTACAAGTTTTTCGATCTTTTGAATTCAATGGTAACCTTATTTGATCTAAAGTCATTTATAAACTTACTTAGTTACCATTCTAAAGTTTATGCACTTCGAAATTAAATTTGACTCGAAAGTTAATGTGCGTAAACTCAAATTTTATGACCAATCTTTCAACAAAAAATCAAAATTCTTACTATTATTTTATTTATGTTATGAGAATTTTTAAGATAATATTATTCTTATTTAATTATAATACGGGATCTTAGAGAAAAAAATGTGATTGAAGGGTAGACTAAGGCAAGTTTTGGGCGGGAACTCAACTTTTCAAGAATAAATTTTAGCCATTGAATTAAAATAGATAAAATTTTAAAATAATCTGAACTGCAAAAAGTAAAAATTATTTTTTATATATTTAAGAATTTGAAATGCCAAGTATTTTATTATATAGATATTTATAAATTTTCATTTTTTTGGACAATATTACTCTCCAACACATGCCTAAAGACCCCTTTACCCACAATTACCTCCCTCGTCTCAATAGTCTACTACTATATTTACCAAACCAGGGAGAAACTATTCAATAATATATTTTAGTAATTATTTTTTCTTGTCATTTGATAATTAATTTATTTTAAAAAATAGGAAAAATTATACTAAAAATTCTCTAATGTTTGTCACATAATCACTTTGACCCATTGACATTTGAAATATTACACACAGCCCTATAAAGTTTGTATACGCGGAATACTTAAACCTCTGTCGTAGATGTTCATTAGTATATCTATTAATAAATTACACTCAAACTTCTTAAATTTTATAGACATATAATATTTAGATCTCTCAAGTTTTAAAAATTACATTTAGACCCTTATTAGTTACGAAAGTAACGGAATTAATTAAACATAGTTCATAACTTTGAGTCGTTTATTGACATAGTCATTAGAGAGTCGACCCCCATAATTCTTCATTGGTCTCTGATTTCTTTTTTAGGTGATCGAAATCCAATAAATTGACATGGAGGTCGTCCAAATTTTAGCATCAATAATACTAATTATGGATTTTATTAAAAAAATAGTTTTTTAATTTTAATTTTAATTTTATTTCAATAAATGACATAATAGAACATAAATTTTGATTATTGTAAAATTTAAATATTTGGTATTCTATTTTTAATTTGAATATTTTTAATCTTAGTATAATATTTTAAATTTGGAGGTCTTAGTATTGCACGTTTCAAATTTTAGTAGTCTATAGATATGCTAATGGATATTAACGACAAAAGTCTATGTGTTACGTGCATACAAATTTTAAGAGATTTGTGTGTAATATTTTAAATGTCAAGAGTCTAAGTAATTAAACGGCAAAGATCCGGATGTAATTATTTTTAAAATTTATTTTATTAAATTAATTATATTTCTACCGGACGATAATACCTAAAATTTCTCTCACCGTTGCACCGAATATTTACGGCTCCACTTTGAAAAAACCACCCCGGTCACCCCCACCCACGCCACCACTCTCTCAAATGGCGGCCGCAGCACCACCGCCACCACCGGAAGACCCCAATCGGTCACCCAATTTTCGCCCGAATCCGTCTCTCTACACCAACCGACGTCTCCGACACCCACAAACTCATCCCCCAAATGGCCGTCTTCGAACGCCTCACCCACCTCTTCTCCGCCATCGAATCCTCTTTCTCCTCCGCCCTCTTCAACCCCACAAACCCACACTTCCACTCTTTCATCGTCTTCATCAGCACTCACCCCCCTTCACGCCAATCCTCAAAGCCATCAATCTCGATCTACCCATTACCGACCCAGAACATGAAATTTTCAAATCACCTGGAAACAACGTTGTTGCTGCTGGGTTTGTGTTGTTTTTTTCCTAATTATTTGTCGTTTTTAGCGAAGTTTTTTTTGATACGATATAAAATCGAATTTGAATACATTGATATCCGTAATAGTTATAATTCAATTTGAATTGTATGTATGTGTCTAAATATATAAATACATGATGAAATAAAGAGGTTTTTTTAAATGAAATTGAGTAAAAATTTAGACGTTAATATTATATTCAATTGATTTATTTGGATGGGGTCCAACCTAATATAGATTTTGATATCCATTTCTAGGGATTTTAATAGAGATTTTAAAAAGAATTCCGCCAATTATTAAGCTTGAAAGGAATTTACCTTAAACGCCATAAAGGTAATCATGTAACGACTCGATTACCTGATACCAATGGACACTAAATTAAGGGGTTGTTTGGATAAATTTAAGTAGAGATTGGATTGGATTTTTGAAACACTTCTAAACCGAACCCTTAGGTTTTGTTCACATGATTAAACAGTGTATCATATCCAATCCGATATTTATAAGTGACACAAATACACATGAGACCCATGGATTATCACNTTTTTTTTTATTATTTTCCCACCAAGTAAAATTTTTAAATATAATATTATTAACAAATCGAGGTCGTGGTGCAAAATTTCAAAAAGAATATAATTGTTTTCTTCTGTCAAATTATAAATCCAATTGAAGAATGGCAGAAGGAAGCAACGTAGTCCGTTTTTCAAAAACAGCACAGTATGTATTCATCTGCAAAGCCAATTTACCCAATCATCAACCAGTAGTCCCCCTATGCTGCATGATGCTGATAAAGAACGACCCTTTTCACAATGGTTTTCAAGTTCGGAAGCAATGCAAGCAAATTCTGCCCCCCTTTCCTCCTTTGCATGATGTACCAAATCCGTTTGAAGGAAAAATATCGTTAGAAAAAAAAAAAAAATAATGCTCCCATTTATATATACCAGTAATTGCCATGTCTTCAGATACGGAGTAAAAAAAAATCAATATATTATATTTGACACAGACGAATCATTGCTTGTGTAGATATATAATCAAGATGATATCTAAACTTGCTAAAAAAACTGGGAAACAAACCAAGGCATGATCATAATGAAATGGAAAAAAAATGACGAATTAAAGCCACACGAAACACAGTTGGATAGCGGTGGAGGTAGGAGTGAAAAGGAAACAGGGAGAGAGAGTACATATATGGTTAGAAAGACCTATGAATTTATGTTATAACAGAAAAAAAGGTTCACTAATTCAAATTTTTTAGAAATAGTTATCGTCGTTTGTCCACTAACTACCCAACTTGTCTATTAAACAAAGATTCACCGCCAGCATTCTATTATCTTATAAACCACCATCAAACGTTTTCCCAAACCTTTAAAATAAGATTTTAATCAACAATTTTAGCATAAACATGCGAAATTCCAGCAACCAACAAAAAATTTCAACCATATTATTAAGTATTTTAATAAAGAAACTCTTAGATTAAAAGAAGGGTTAATAACACTTATAGTTCTTAAACTATGCATTTTTTTTTATCAGTTCAGTCCTCATTGAAACAATTTTGTCAATTTAATCTCTAAAATATTCAATTCATATTACTTTGGTTCCTACATAAACGCACCGTCAAGTTTTTTTGACGACATCACATGTTCAACACGTGATAATTCCGTCAAAAACTTAACGATCCATTTATATAATGGCTAAAATGACACGAATTAAATACTTTAAGAACCAAAAGTACTATTAACCCTTGAAAAAAAATCTAACTAATTTTTAGGAAGTAAAAATCTAAAACATACTATGTAGAGAAAAAAAAAATTACCTAGAAAGTAGATCTTCCTCTCAACACCCACCGAGGCTTCCAAGTGAAAACCCTAAATTTCTTGGTAGATTTGAATCAAACACAAAACAAACTCAAAACTAAAACATAGCTGAAAGTTACGGGAGCAGAATAAAAATAGAGAAGGGTTCCAAAGGTTTTATATTTTGAAGTTGCTTGTCCGCAACACTCCAAAAAACTAAACCGATAGCTTCAATGTAGGAAAGCGAAAACAAAGCCTTCTGAGTTGTTTCCCAAGGCAAACTTATCTCCATCTTCTCCTATTTATAATCCAGCCCTTGAGTTTCTAATTATTTCCAAGCGTACACTATCCCCTTACAAGACTAATAAACAATTTTTACTACTTTTCAATTTAGTCCTAACTTCTTTTTTTCACCTCATGTAATGCGTATCTAAGTTTCACAATGTTACTTGTTCTAACACCGTGATAGAATATTGCACACTCGTAGATGCCACAGCTGATTTATATTGGCAACAATCTCGGTTAACTGAATTGAAGATTCCCAACCATCTTGTCCTCTCCTATGGCACGACAATATTAGGGTTACTTATCTCATAGCCAACCCCATTTTTCACAATCGGAGGAAACATGTTGAAATAGCATTTTACTTTGTATGTGAGAAAGTAACCGCCAAAGCACTTCAAGCACATTACATATCTAATAAGGATAAAATTGTCGATGTATTAATAAAACCCCTTTCAACTCCACCTTTTCTCTTGCTTCGAGACAAGCTCAACCTTATTCCGGACACACTTCACACTTGCTGGGGTATATTTGAGATAAAGAATAAAATGTTATTTGCAACAAAATTTCAAATAAACACTCCAATGGTATCATATTATCTTATCAGCTACTTTGAACACTTACAATCCTACTTGCACTCAATTATGTTGTAAATCTCTATAAATACCTCAGTAACCATACATTGCAAACATAGCAAAAACTAATTGGTTTCACGTTTTCTCATAGTATCAAATTTTTTTCGATTTCAATTCTCTTTAAAATATATTTTAATTCTGAAATATTTTCAAACTTATAACCACCTCTCTACAAGTTTTTCGATCTTTTGAATTCAATGGTAACCTTATTTGATCTAAAGTCATTTATAAACTTACTTAGTTACCATTCTAAAGTTTATGCACTTCGAAATTAAATTTGACTCGAAAGTTAATGTGCGTAAACTCAAATTTTATGACCAATCTTTCAACAAAAAATCAAAATTCTTACTATTATTTTATTTATGTTATGAGAATTTTTAAGATAATATTATTCTTATTTAATTATAATACGGGATCTTAGAGAAAAAAATGTGATTGAAGGGTAGACTAAGGCAAGTTTTGGGCGGGAACTCAACTTTTCAAGAATAAATTTTAGCCATTGAATTAAAATAGATAAAATTTTAAAATAATCTGAACTGCAAAAAGTAAAAATTATTTTTTATATATTTAAGAATTTGAAATGCCAAGTATTTTATTATATAGATATTTATAAATTTTCATTTTTTTGGACAATATTACTCTCCAACACATGCCTAAAGACCCCTTTACCCACAATTACCTCCCTCGTCTCAATAGTCTACTACTATATTTACCAAACCAGGGAGAAACTATTCAATAATATATTTTAGTAATTATTTTTTCTTGTCATTTGATAATTAATTTATTTTAAAAAATAGGAAAAATTATACTAAAAATTCTCTAATGTTTGTCACATAATCACTTTGACCCATTGACATTTGAAATATTACACACAGCCCTATAAAGTTTGTATACGCGGAATACTTAAACCTCTGTCGTAGATGTTCATTAGTATATCTATTAATAAATTACACTCAAACTTCTTAAATTTTATAGACATATAATATTTAGATCTCTCAAGTTTTAAAAATTACATTTAGACCCTTATTAGTTACGAAAGTAACGGAATTAATTAAACATAGTTCATAACTTTGAGTCGTTTATTGACATAGTCATTAGAGAGTCGACCCCCATAATTCTTCATTGGTCTCTGATTTCTTTTTTAGGTGATCGAAATCCAATAAATTGACATGGAGGTCGTCCAAATTTTAGCATCAATAATACTAATTATGGATTTTATTAAAAAAATAGTTTTTTAATTTTAATTTTAATTTTATTTCAATAAATGACATAATAGAACATAAATTTTGATTATTGTAAAATTTAAATATTTGGTATTCTATTTTTAATTTGAATATTTTTAATCTTAGTATAATATTTTAAATTTGGAGGTCTTAGTATTGCACGTTTCAAATTTTAGTAGTCTATAGATATGCTAATGGATATTAACGACAAAAGTCTATGTGTTACGTGCATACAAATTTTAAGAGATTTGTGTGTAATATTTTAAATGTCAAGAGTCTAAGTAATTAAACGGCAAAGATCCGGATGTAATTATTTTTAAAATTTATTTTATTAAATTAATTATATTTCTACCGGACGATAATACCTAAAATTTCTCTCACCGTTGCACCGAATATTTACGGCTCCACTTTGAAAAAACCACCCCGGTCACCCCCACCCACGCCACCACTCTCTCAAATGGCGGCCGCAGCACCACCGCCACCACCGGAAGACCCCAATCGGTCACCCAATTTTCGCCCGAATCCGTCTCTCTACACCAACCGACGTCTCCGACACCCACAAACTCATCCCCCAAATGGCCGTCTTCGAACGCCTCACCCACCTCTTCTCCGCCATCGAATCCTCTTTCTCCTCCGCCCTCTTCAACCCCACAAACCCACACTTCCACTCTTTCATCGTCTTCATCAGCACTCACCCCCCTTCACGCCAATCCTCAAAGCCATCAATCTCGATCTACCCATTACCGACCCAGAACATGAAATTTTCAAATCACCTGGAAACAACGTTGTTGCTGCTGGGTTTGTGTTGTTTTTTTCCTAATTATTTGTCGTTTTTAGCGAAGTTTTTTTTGATACGATATAAAATCGAATTTGAATACATTGATATCCGTAATAGTTATAATTCAATTTGAATTGTATGTATGTGTCTAAATATATAAATACATGATGAAATCAAGAGGTTTTTTTAAATGAAATTGAGTAAAAATTTAGACGTTAATATTATAT